GCTGGGACTCTGGTCTTAGGGTGTCTGTGTCTTGAAAGACATAACACCCTTGGCTTTTCTCCTCAGCCTGGAGGCCCCTCCTTGCCTGTCTGGTCTCACCCCTATGAGCCCCAATTCCCAAAGGGGCTCCAGCCCTCCCCAAGGCCTGTGCTTACCCCCTTAAGTTGTGTGAGCAGATGCAACCCCTACAAGGCCATGTCCCAGTCGGTGGCTCCAGCCTGGCCACTGCATGAATCTCTCTGGTCAAATCCTTCCAGGCTCACCAGGGCACTGATGGTCTGTGACCTGCTGGGGCATGCAGGCCCATGGCACAACTCCTGAGTCCCAGGTCTCCATCTGTGTGGCAGAGCAGCCACTGACCCATGGTCTTCCTACCAGTCCCCAGTGAGGCCTGAGAGGTCTTGTCCCACCGTCTGTACCTGCCAAGCCTGCCCCAGGAGAGTACGTCCAGTGCTCCTGGTGGCGGCCTCACCCTCTCCCGCCTCACCCTCTCCAACTTTCTGAATTGATTGGCTGAAAACTAATAAAACAAGGAGACCCAGCAGGCTGCTGTGTCTATGACTGGGTCTGTTTCCACCCTTAACACAAAAAATGTGCAGTTTGCATAGCAATTTGTCCATAGTTTTTTTTTTTAAACTATAGTCCGGCCCTCCAACGGTCTGAGGGACAGTGAACTGACCCCCTGTTTAAAAAGTTTGAGGGCCCCTGCTTTATATAATCCAGCTTCTCTGATCATTTGGTCAGTATATAGATTGAACAATGATGGTCAGAGGATACAACCTTGATGCACCTTTCCTGGTTTTAAACCATGTAGCATTCCCTTGTTCCGTTTGTACAACTGCTTCCTGATCCACGTACAAGTTCCAAATGTGCACAATGAAATGTTCGAGAATTACCATTATTCTCATGGATATCCACAGTTTAGTATCTGAAACACATGGGATCGCCAGAATCACTTGACAGCAAATAGTCTGTGATTTGCCTTTTTAAAAAATTGCTGTATCCTGTCCCTCTGGCCAGGTCCCACTCCACAAGTCTAGTAAATCAAATCCCCTGACCACCCTCTTCCCAACCTGTTCAGAGTTCTGGCTCTTCCTCCTCCAGAGGGCCTGCATCGACCTTAACCCAGGATGAACCACAGCTAGTAAGTTTTTTGCACTTGCGCTAGAAGCAGCCACCACGTGGCCCGGCCCCGCCCCGCCCCTCCCCTGGCGGCCCGCCCCGCCCCTCCCCTGGCGGCCCGCCCCCAGGCCTTCCCAGACCGGATACCGGAAGCGGAAGTGCGCGTCTGAGCCTGCGCGAAGTCGGCGGCCATCTTGCCTCTCGCTCCCTCCCGCGGCTGAGGTAAATTCCCTCCCTAGTCGGCGGCCCTGCTAAGTCCGGGGCCCGCGCACAGTCCTGCGGCCGCGGCAGCTCCCGAGCCGAGACCTTCCTCCGCTGGGGCCGACTCTCCGAAGCGGGTCCTCTGGGGCGGGTCCTGCCGTCCGGG